GGATGTTTGGTGCAGGACATAAGAATGGAAAAACAATGTCCTGATTAAGGTGGAGAAGACCTTAGGAAGAACAGAAGCCTTAGATCCCAGTACTACTGTATACACTAAGCCACTGGAGTGCATACAGGGGAACAATGTGAGCGACCCAGTGCACAAAAGGCCTTCTTTAGTGAATGAGAGGCACGCAGTCTCCGGAAAAGAATTTCCTCAGTAGAAACTGACCCTTGCTGGTACTCAAAGCTAAACACTAGGCGAGACAGGAGGAAAGATAAGATGCTTCCCCTGGAGTATTTCCTGGGGTGGAACTTTCTCCTCATCACTAAGAAAAATAATGCCTTTCAGGTGCATGGGAGATTATGCAAGATTTCTAGCTTTCAGGAGCATAGGGATGACGGTGTCTAAAAGGCCTTTGTCCTTCAGGACCTAAGCTTTAACAGCCATGCTGTTGAAGCCAGCAACTGAAAAGCAGGAGGAGTTTGACTACGTACATGTACCACGGTCTCCTGAGCCAGTTGAGAGCAATGAGGATCACTGGAATGCCCTCTGTCTCAAACATGCAAAAAAAGCGAGGTAAGAGTTTTTAGAGGCGGGAAGACGTAGATCAAGCTGAACTTACCCAGACATCCAATGTGAAGGGCTGGGTATCCTTGGTCCTGGCAACAAACCTAACCAGTTTATTGAACCTGGAAGCCAGAAAAGGGCCACATCCAGAGTCCCTCCCCTGTGACACAGGGCCCAAAACACCTCCAGGTGAAGGGGCCATTCTCCAGAGTCCAGACTTCGACAACTAAGGAAGTCCACCTGCCAATTTTCAGTACCTGGAAAGTGTACAGTGGACAGGGTTAGGGTATGAAGTGGCACCCAAGCTAAGCCGCTGAGGGGTTCAGCATAGAAGGAAGAACCGCATCCCCCTGAGCGCCAGGATGCTCATTGGTACTTAAGATTCCTCCTTCCACCAGGTCCCTTGAACTGAGAGGTTTTCCAGGACTCCTCCCCAGCCGGACAGGCTGGCATCTGTCATGAACACCTTCAAGACCATCAGGAGGAATGAAGTACTGAAGTACTCATTTGAAGTACTTATATAATTACAATCCTTCCTCTATATACAGTTCCAGCGCCAGGTTGGAGATCCACTAGGGCAAGCCTTTCTGGACAGGTGAATGCTGAGGTCCAGGGACTGAACCTGTTTGTCCTCTGCAGGAGGCCAGCATCTTGGTGAACAACCCGAGGTGCAGTGGACAGGTAGAATGGAAGAGCAACAAAGGTAGCGTATCCGTCCGTCTTTGAGGAGATCTTTGCAAGTTTGACAGGAGCAAGCGAGGAGGCAGGGAGCAATACTCTAATTTATAACCCTTGGTTACAAAACTCCGGACTCTGGAATCGTGAATGTCCCAAACCCAGGAGACCGAGAAAGCCAACAGAAGACTTGTTCCCAGACTTTGTGGGCACGGAAGGCCAGGACTCACAATGGAACTGAGAGCCCAGCTTGCGTTTGAAACCTGAGACTAGGCAGGGACAAAGGGAACTTTTCATAAAGTGGGGAGCACAAAGTTTTGCTACTGGAGGTTTGGACTTCTTCTGAGTTAAAAAGGTGCTCTTTCCCTGTGACTTCTTAATGACAGCATCTAGAGATTCGCCTTAAAGGCATTTCCCAGTAATGAGCATGCGCTCCAGGAGCTTCTGACACAAAAGCTCCACAGACCAACATTTAAGCTATAGGATCCACTGCATGTAAACAGACAGGAGACTCATCTTGGAGATCGGAGGGTATCTGCCAGGCCATCAATGCACTAGAGCAGGGCTACAGGAAAAAGTTCTAGTTGTCCAGACAGGGTCCATCAATATAGACTCAGGGTATCTAGCAAAAGATTTAGATAAGGTATGACACATGGCCATGGTGGCAACAGCAGGTTACACAAAGGCAAACAAAGGCTTCTAACCTCTTGTCCACATGGTCATTGCAAACATGGACATTTTCTACAGAAGGGGTAGGCAACTTCAGCACTCCAGCTGTGGTGAAGCTACAAATCCCATAATTTGAAGTACTTATATAATTACAATCCTTCCTCTATATACAAATGTCACAGTTCAGCTGCAGTCATTTTTAGTTCTACAAGTATGTGCAGACATCTGCCCCCTGGTTCTACAGGTATACAGCGCATTGCAGTCAGTCAGTGCAGTCAGCTTGTGGCCAATCCTGTAATTCTTCCCTCTTGCTCGTTCTATTTAAACTTAGTGCAGCTCACGACTCGTGGCCAGAGCAATGCTTTCCCAAGCTAGCCACTGAGCCCATGGTCGCTGTTGAAGCTGCCATTCCTGTTGCTGATCTGTATACCAACTGTTGGCTTGTCCCTAGTATTCGTATATTCTCTCTCGCTCATGTTTCTTCATTTGCATTCATCCTCTGTAACATTTACTGGTAATCTCTAGGTATCCAGCAAATTCCAGTGAATATGCCAGCTTTTAGATAACTGTTATAAATCCGGCCATAAATAATTGGTTATCTGACGTATATACGCATGTACATTAAGATCACATTTTATATGGCACGGTTTCCACCAGGTGCTTAAGTGTACCCTACATGTTTCACCACAATGAGTGGCTTTGTCAGGGGTTTTAAGTGATACTGCTGTGCCCTTGGGCAAATATAAAGTTTCTATAGACCCCACATTACCTTTTGGCAGGGTCCAAGTACAGTCCACCATGGCTCAGCTGAGAAGAAAACCATTGCAGATGGCTGCGGAGAGATGCCACAGTGACTGTGAGCAGCTTAGGAAAACCTGCTAGAAAAGTCTTGAAGAAGAAAAGTGAAGGAAAGCATGTGATTCTCTTAGAGCTAATAGAAGGTATCCATCGCCTAAGGACACTAGAAAAAAAAACTGAGACAGATTGGGAGCTGGAGGAGTTATATAGAGCTGTCCTTACGGCTTTGATTTGCCAGTGTTTAATCACCTCAGGGTAGCTGCATGACCCATTGTTTCCATCCATTGTTAACTCCCTGTGTCCTGTGATGTACAATCAAGAAATGTGATCTTTTTCTTTTGTGCAGAATTTCCTGTTACCGTTTCCATCTTGCCTGTAAGGGCCCTTATACACTGACTGATGTGGATTTGGTAGCTAAACCTAAAGCCAATGTCACACTAGTGATCCAGCCACTGGGGAAAACAGCGGGGGACAGCTTAAAGTCTGCTCCCACACTGGCAAGCAAGACTCTGCAGTGTTTAAGCCAACAAAGGTGCCTAAACTTTCCCCTGAAAAACATGCCTTGTTTCTTAAATTCTTCCTGCAAAATAGCAGGCTGAGTGCTCTCAGGAGATCTGCAGTGAGATTTGGTGATGTCACTACTGTGCTGCTTACAGCTTTTCCTTGCTGGTGGCTCTGACATGTGGAATCAAAACCCTATGGGGGGGATTTATCAAAACTTGAGCAGACAGAATCTGGAGCAGTTGCCCAGAGCAACCAATCAGCATCCCTCTTAAGGCCCCATTCACACTAAGCGACATACCTTTTGCAGTGGATCCGCGCGGCCGGGATAGAGCGACTTTCGGGGCGACGTTGCAGCGACGGTAGTGTGACCTTTACCGTCGGGCTCCATTGAAAAATCGCGCAAAATGCACCGAAAAAAGGGTCCCGCTGGAGCGACATGGAGCTAAGACAGCTCCATTGAATAGCAATGGCCGGCGACTTCTTGCGATATTGTGAGGCAAAAATGCTCGATATCGCAGCAGAATTCGCACGATACATCGCTTAGTGGGAATGGGGCCTTAGTTTGCCCAGATAGGATTTGAAAAGGAGACAGAGAAGCTGATTGGTTACAGTGCAAATCTGCTCCAGATATTATCTGGTCCAGTTTTGATAAATTCCCGCTAATGCCTGTACACAGAGCCAGTGCAGAACAAGACATGGTAAGTCAGTAACAAGGAAAAGGTTAGCCACAGGGAGATGGCAGGCAATATTGCCGACCAGTCATTTCCCTCTGCCTGTGTTTTTTTTAAGTACAGCTTCCAGAGTTCAATTCCTCTATAGCCACAGCTTGAATTTGATGAGGACACCTGTGTTACTTCCTCTGAAATACAGTATACAGTATACAGTCTACATCATAGACTCCACTGTGTGCAATAGTGACTTGAAACTGAACATTGAAGTGGTATTTCCCGTAATCCATTACTTACCTGGAAGGAAACCTGGACTAGGAGAAATAGAGATGCTGGCATTGCTGGCCTTCTTCTGAAAATGCTAGTTACCTGGCTATCTCTGGTATCATTACATTCTGCGACACGGACTTGAAACAAGTATGCAGATCATGAATGTCAGAGCTCCTAATCAGCATACAGTACTTGTTCCAGGCCAGTGCCCAAGAAAGCACTGTAGCCAGCAGATCAGCATGACTGTCCAGGTAACTAGAAATGTCAGAAGTAGAGGTCAGCAAAGGCAGTCTCCATACTTGCAGAGTGCAGGTTTCTTTTAATAAAACATAGCAGCATTTACTGAGAAATGATTCCAATTATAAATGAAGCTGCTAGAACATAAACTGTGTTTTCACGAATAAAATCTACTGAATATAACAGATTAAAAGTTATTATAAAAGGAATTTATTAATATGTTACAAATATAGGCATCTGTATATAGACCTGCTTCTTCTTCACTGCTGGAGAGAGCTACATATTGGGTTTGGGTTGGGGACCAACGCAGGAGTACAAGAGGTTAGGTCTGATTGTCTTCAGTTGGTGAATGCCCTTGTGCTGTACATGGTCCAGTTATTCTGTAGGGTTATGAAAGCAATGTAAAATCTACCCAACAAATCAAAGCTTATGTGACCTGTTTATAAAGCGAGTAATAATTTACTTTCCCCTATATACCCTTAAAAATTCATGATTATAATTCATACTGAATGATGTTTGTGAATTTGTCCTTGAAATATTCTTCTTGGACAACTGAACGATTCTTCATACACACACAAGAGGTTGGAAGGCTTCCAATGGAGGCATGTCTGATAGAGCACAGTATATATTTTAATACTGATGTGATTGCATAGTCATACGGGTAATAGGTGGAGAACATGCTTAGTTAACAGTACTAGAACGAGGACGAAGGACTCCCTCTGCAGGCTGCAACTCCACGACTTTCCTTCCCTGTGACCGGGCATGTTCTTGGTACCATTCCTGGAAAAACAGAGGTAACAGTGAAGTTAGGGTTCATTCTTGCTGTAGACTACAAATGAGCTTTGAAAGATAACGCTACATAAACATCTAGTTAGTGTAGCAGTTGGAAGCTGCGGCACCACTTGGACCAAAAGAAAGATATTAAAGCAATAAAATACATGAATAGAAATGTGCTGCTTAAATAGCCAGGTTTTAGTAATCACAGCACATTTTTGGTAAATATGCTAAAGACACACATCAGTGCTTGCTGTTCTTTGTTATTCATCACAAGGTTTATGTATTTACCAAGAAAGGGACAAGAAGTACAACCTGGTCCATGCCTCCTCTAAATTCTCAGCACCAAGAATGGCAGAGAAAAAAAGAGGTGGTATAATAATCAATACCGATCCTTCAACAGAACATACAATGAATGGTTATATACAATGCTTTCTTTCTGTGTAAACTGTGTTCAGGACCAAAGAGTAACAAATATAACAAGATTTTTTTGATGTCAGGTAAATCTTCAGGCAGCTTCAGATTTTCTTCACACCTTCTTTACCTGCACACGCATGTATTTTTAATGAGAACAAACTGCAGACAACACTCACCTGATTTCCCACTGCTGCAAATGAGACGGTCGGCTTGTGCATGTTTACCTGTGCTGCATTTTGCATACAAATGTAAATAAATATACAGAAGTGTTTTGCCACATGCTAAAAAGCTGGACTGTAGATTCCTAGAAAATCACTTGTAATGTAGTTGGGATAGTATGATTTAATGAAAATGTCATTTCAATGTTATTCTTTATTGGCTTCAGATTCTGTTAAAGGATTGTCTCTTGCCAGGATGTCTGACTGCAGAGCAGAAATGAAGGCACGGGTCTGGGAAAGAGGGTTCAGGAAAAGTAACGCACTATGATCTGCCCACTCAGTACCACCTAACTACATTGTAATTATAGCTCACAGAAGCTTCTGCAAATTGGCCACAGACATTACCCTGCGTGGACTGTCAATAGGGAAATGTAAAATAGTTTAAAATATAAATCTTTGGAATTCACACATAATAAAAATCATTTTACAACATATGTGGATATTACAAGACATTACTGGACTTTACTAGGGTGCCAGCTCCAGGGTGCCGGATCAGCTTTGATGTGCCTTTGCATGATTTATTGTTCAATTTAGACAACATATTCATTTTTATGGCTGTGAACTCTGACCTGAGGTATGCAAGGTATATTATACTATAAAAACCTACACAAACAAATGCACTACTCCAGCCTTTCCTTTTTTCCCCAGACTTGTAGCAAGTCCTCTCCTGTGTTGAAACAGAGTGCTTTCCCTGTAAACTTGCATCTCCAAAATATAACTCTTTGAAGCTGTAGCAGCTATCTTGAGCCTACCCTTCATTTCTGGTCTGAAAGACTTCCATCATTCATCACTCACTTCTCTACCTGATCCTTACTGCTGTTTGCCCCCCCTCACAGCTACTAGCTTTCACTGCCATCAATCATTTTCTTAGACATGTCTGCAACCAGTCAACCTTTCAGAAGCATGCACAGCTAAAGTTTGCAACAACCAGTGACCAGCAGGTAGAAGCAGACATGTCTAAAGGGATCATGTGGATGTGTTCTTAAATATACAGTGGTACCTCGGTTCACGAACTTAATTCGTTCCACGATTCTGGTTGCGAACTGAATTGGTTGCGAACCGAATCAAACTGTGATCAGAACGCAATCTCGACTAGAGGAAGCCATGACCATGTGTCAGAGCAGGGAAGATGACTGCGGCTGTGTTCATCACCCTATGTGGAGTTCGTGAACAGAGGCAACATTTTGCCGAACCAAATTGAACTGAGGTATCACTGTAATTCTTTTGAAAAAAAATCCAAGGCTAAAAGCTAGGACGTTTACAGTAGTCTGCCAATCCCTCCCATCAAACTCAGAGGAAGGAGCAGCAGACAGAATAAAATAGGTATTTCGTTAACCACTTGCTGACCGGGGTGTTTACACCCCCTTCCTGTCCAGGCCATTTTTCAGTATTCAGCGCTGCGGTACTTTGACTGACATTTATTCAGTCATGTCAAGCTTTAAAATTGCGGGGGCCCGCAAACTCACAAAAACTACCATACCCAAAATTGGCCATAGGCGACCCTTTAAAAGCTTTTACTGCTCATCATTTTAGTGTTATCAGTGATTGATGACCCTAGAATTATTGCTCTCACTGCGACGTTTGCGGCAATATGTAACATGTGCGGCGTAATGGATGCAATCGTCGTTTGCGCACGTAGGCGCACTCGACGCATTTTTGCATGTGTATGTGGGGGGTGGGGGACTTTAAAAACATTTTTAGATGTTTTTTTTATTACCTTTATATGTGGCTTTTAATTTTTTAATATTTTTTTTAACTAATTCTTTTAAACCTTTTTTTTCTCCACTTAACATTATTGCTATCACATAGGGGACTAACAGGCCCCCTTTGTGATAGCCAATTTTTAGTGACAGGTCCTCTTTAAGACCCCTATTGTCACCTAGGGACCCCCAGAGAAGCTGATGAAGCAAACACCTGCTTCACCAGCTTCTCTCCGGTTTCTGTACCCGAGAGTGACACATCACTTCCTGCATTCCAAAGAGGAGGAGTTCAAACGGAAATCGTGTACTGATCTCTGTTTGATTTCCGGCCGCAGAACTGCTGTGCTGGTCCCGGGCTTGCACCGGGCACAGCGTAGCTTGGGATCGCCAGCAGCAGCTGCGACGGAGGGGGCGTACACCCGCACGCATATTACAAGCGATCAGGCGTCTCTACAGACGCTCGAACGCTTGTATGTAAACAGCCATCGCTGGCTGTTTACAGTCCAGGCTGATTTCCCGCTTGTCCTTGCCGCCTAGTGGCCGGACAGCAGGTGGTTAAAAAAATTATTTGATTGAAAAATTTGAACTGAATATTAATCAAGGGAAAGGGGGACAATGGAAGGTATTGAAGAGATAGGTCTACAATACACTTCAGCTTTAAAATATTTTCAAATACATCCATGTGAGTGTCACATAAATTAAACAGAACAAGGCAAATTTCACCTTAATTTCTTCTTCGTACATCTTCCTGCTGAGATCGCTCTTCGTTTGGGATCTTCTCCCCACAAAAACAACAGAAGCAGCCTGTAAGATAAGACCAGAGTGAGTGACATAATAGTGAGACGTTCATTTCAGCACTAGAATGGTGGAAAGAGAAGAAATATAAAAAGGAAACATGTCAGCTCAAGTATGAATGCTTTCATTGTAACAACCACAGCAAGAAGACCATCTTTCTTGACACATAAGGGCAGTGTTATAATCTGGACATTACTGAAGGCAAACTCTTCATACATTTGGCATTATTGTGAACTAGAAACTCTAGACTCATTATACAAGTGACTGTTTCTATGTATTAAAACAACAAGATAATAATAATAATAAATAAATAATAATAATAAAAAATGAGGATCAGTAACCCACCTCACTGGCCTGTAAGTGTGACAGCAGTTTTCGCAGCTGGGTTTTCTCATCATTACTTTGTGTGTGTCGAAGAATAACTGCCAGCTCCTCTCGGCCCACCTCTTCTTCCAAAGTGATTCCTTTTTCATCTTAAAACAGCCACAAAAATATCATACGTCACATCTTAATATAGATGGCACAAAAACAGGATACAAGAAATCAAACGTTCATCTCATTTCAATTGTCTCATTTTCTGACTTTAAAAACAGACAATTTACATTTACAACATTCTAACATTTGCACACTACAAAATTAGACGACGGTATGATTCAAATGGAGTTTTGTACAAACAGAACTTTATATTCAACTTGCTTAGCAGAAACATGTGGCTCTATGAGGACACGAAACACATACATTACAAAGTGGCGCACATTTTTTCAAGGTCCTGTGTACTATGAATTAACAAAAACAATGGCTATGATCCAAAATCAGCATTTTTACTCATGCGCTGCATTAGGCTACCTGACTGTACATCAAATACAGAAACTCACAAAAATAAAAGTTCTTTTAAAATAAATGTAAACTAAAATCTGATATAAGCTTTAACATAAAGATCCTTGTTCAGACACTTCCGCTTATAAAAGTGACAAAGCTTTTGTCCTGTTGCCCACATGTCCTCCTGCACTGTCACCCTGTCAATGGGCCTTCCAAAGGAGACTACGAGTGGCCATTTCAATACATAGTAGGGACTGTGCCAATGGTTGATGAGCCAGTCAATTTCAGACATTTCTGAGATCATTCAGAAAGATGCATTTGACCTGCCAGAGGCTAGGTTCACACTATGGCAAACCGTGACCGCGTGAAAATCGTGCACAAAACCGCGCGGCCACCACTGCCGATTGCGCTGGCGGTGCATTTGCGCATGATCGTGGTTGAAAAACCGTGCGGTGCGTGTTGCAAAACCATGTACCTTGGTCCCGGGATGGCCGATATATCTGAACCTAGCTTCAAGGTGCTTTTGCATTCTCATAGACTATTATTGGAAGAGAAGCAGTTCTGACCTGAACAACAGTCCGTCAACACTAGCCCTTACACAGACATTGCCCACTGTTATTATCATTAGAAAACCCACCCTAAGAAGTATTTATCTCATCCATCTATTCCATCCATCCATCTTATCTAATCCACCTATTCCATCCATCCCTCTTATCTAATCCACCTATTCCATCCATCCGTCTATCTCATCCGTCTGCTCCATCCATCTATATCTATCCCATCTATCTATATCGATCCCATCTATCCATATATATCTATCTATCCCTTTATTTACCATTTAATTATCTTTGCCATCAAATTTTTTATCAACACTAACCTTCTGCGTCTTTATTCTTTCTGCCGTAATTCATTCGGAATACAAAGGCATCCAATATACAGGCAACAATGATGGTTATTACAACCTGTAATACATAAAGAAATAAATGATGCTACAAGGATTATAATGGCCATCCACAAAAGGATAAACATGGAAATCATAGATTTTAGTTATTGAAAATAATCTTTTGCATGAAAACCACTGTTCAACACAACGAAGGATCAAGGATTTGGTGGAACTGGGCTGGATTTTCCACCAGAAGCAAATGCCCCTTCTCAATTAAATAGAGCTGCAGCTAACGATTATTTTCAAAATCGATTAGTTAGCCGATTATTAAGTTCGATTAATCGGTTAATCGGATAAACAATAAAATAAAGTTTAAAAAATGGCTCCAGTGATAGGACTACTAGTTTGTATTGAGGTTGTAGTCCATCACAGGAGCAAGCTTGGAGCGGTGGAAGTAAAAAAAAAAAAAAAGATAGTGTGGTGTGCAATATAGTGAAATGGAAAGTGTAAAATTATACAGCAATGAATGCAGAATGGCACCGGCTATAGAGGACTACAAAACCCAGCAAAAGCACATTATACAGCGCAATGCAGAACACCGCCAGCTATAGAGGAATACAACAAATCCCAGCAATAGTACATAATAGCTGGCGGCATTCTGCATTGCGCTGTATAATGTACTATTGCTGGGTTTTGTAGTCCTCTATAGCTGGTGGTATTTAGCATTGTACCACTTTATAATGTACTATTGCTGGGATTTGTTGTAGTCCTCTATAGCTGGTGGTATTCCGCATTGCGCTGTATAATGTATTATTGCTGGGACTTGTAGTCCTCTATACAGCGCAATGCAGAATATCACCAGCTATAGAGGAGTACAACAAATCCCAGCAATACATTATACATACAGTGTATAATGCATTGCTGGTATTTGTATTCCTATGTATAATGTACAGTACAATGTACCATCAGCTATAGAGAAATACAAATCCCAGCAATACATTATAGAGCACCATGTGTGGGAAAGTGCAGGCTTACCAACCATTCTTCCAGCAACTTGCTTCTGAGATTGGACCTGTCTATCAGCTGCTGTCATCCCCCCACTCCTGCTCCTCCTTACTACATCTCCCCGCGTGCCTTGCCGATCGTGGATGGGCAGGAAATGTGAGGCGGGGAGGAGGTGCGGCGTGTGGAGCGTGGATGCGAG